GGCTTCTTTCTTTCTCTTATACTCCACATATGTGTCATCGGATTAAACTGTGAAGATGTCCATCACAGCATTGTTTATAAAAATAAGAACTTGGGATGGTGCCCCTAGCTCAGTGGGTAGGTGGTCAGCCACATACACCGAGTCTGGTGGGTTCAACTCTGGCCTGGGCCTGCTAAACAACAATGACAACCACAACAAAAAAATAGCCAGGCATGTGGCGGGCACCTGTAGTCCCTGCTACTTGGGAGGCTGAGGCAAGAGAATCACTTAAGCCCAAGAGTTTGAGATTGCTGTGAGCTGTGATGCCACAGCACTCTACTGAGGGCGATAAAGTAAGACTCTGTCTCAAAACAAAACAAAACAAAACAAAACTTGGAAATGATCTAATTGTTAAACAGTGGAAGGTGGTTAAATTATGGTATACATTGTAAATTAAGAGGTTATTGTTCAATGACATTTTTCTTATAGAAAATTTCCAACATGCTCAATAGTAGAGAGCCATGAGTCCATCATCCAGCTAGAATAATGATTAACTCACAGCCACTCTTGCTTCATTTATAACCCCACTGACCTCTCACCTCCTCACTGAATTATTGGCCAACAATGCCAGACATCAAATCATTTAGTATGTAAACTATACAACATATTATGTCACAAAAGTATATTGTAAAGAAATATGTGTAATAGGATTTCATTTTTGTGAATTACATATACATACAGGGAAAAAAGTCTGATGGGATCACTAGCTCTGAATTGTGATATTATGAATGATTGTCGATTTCTTCTTTTGCTTGTGTATGTTTTCCACAGTGAACATGTATCGCATGGAGAAAAGAGGAGGAGGGGAAGGGAGAAGATACTGATGCCACACATTTTAACTTCATTCCTTTTGTAAATTCAATTCATTCCAGCTGGGTATTTCACATTATGAAAAGGAAATAACCACTCGATGGAGGTAAGATCCTCACTGTCAGCTCTGTTTTCTCTTTGGACAGTGTGTAATTAGAAATTGCCACACAATCAGCTATCCTTGCAGTAGGGTTTCTCAGCTTCAGCCCTCCTGACATTTTGGGCTGGATGATTCTTTGCCGTGGAAGGCTGTTCTCTGTACTGAGGATGCCTGGCAGCGTCCCTGGTCTCCACCCATTAGATGCCAGTAGTGTTCTCCCCCTACCCTGCCAACTGCAACAACCAAAAATGTTTCCAGACATTGCCCACTGTCCCCAGGAGGCAAAATCACCCTTGGTTGAGAACCACCACCCTATAGTGTGTGTGCAAGCTGAAATGCATGTTGTCTAGGAGATTAGCAGTAGAAATATTCCGTTTCACTCCTTTTGCTGGCTGAAAGCTCAAGGAGGATGTAATTTGTGATCTGATGAAAGCTGCTATTGTGGTTTACTGACCTGCTCATTTAATTAACCAACCTATGACACAGTGGTTAATGATTATTTGCATTTTTGAAACACATCCAGAAACGAGCAAGACACATTCAACTCTATGAGAAAAGCAAAGGTCATGGATGAAAGATTGCTTGTCAGCCACCACAGTGATCACTTGGACTTGCCTCTCCAGCCCACCAACTGACCCATTTTACTATTCATTAGCATCCACAATGCAGGAAAATATTGTATGGAAGTTAAAAACAGGAGATTTCTTCCTAGAAAATTAGTGAATCTCAATGCATATAAACACCAGACACAGCTGCAAAAGAAAAGGGAAAAGGGTATTTAATTAGATATTTAATTTAATTTGGATTTTTTCCCCCATAATGGAAACATTTTATTAGAGAACCATAGAAATGAGATAAGGGAAAATATGAGGTCATCTTGCCCATTCTCCTCAAGAGCTACACTGTTCCATATGCACCCCCTGCCTCATCCTCCACTCCCAGTCTGGAGTCTTAGTAAATATCCCCATTTTAATAATAGAGGATATTCCTCATGTCTCCCCCGGAGAGAAACTCAACAGATGGGCAGAGGGTATATGTTAGTGGTATCATGATCTTCGAAAGATTGCTTTGGTTAGTAGCATTGTGCTAACTGCACAGAAAATAAAATCTCTAGCAAAGTCTACATCAGACATTGCTGGTATAAGTTTATCAAGCACCATATAAATTGTCTTAAATAGCATTACACAATTTTTACAACTTAACAGAATTCATTTCCTTCTTTTCTTCCTTTTCTTGTTTTTCTTTTCTGAGCTACAGTGCGATGTCATCATAGCTCACTGAAACCTCAAACTCCTGGGCTCAAGCAATCCTCCTGCCTCAGCCTCATAGCTGGGACTACAGGCCCACACCACTGTGCCTGCCTAATTTTTTCTGTCTTTGGTAGAGCTGGAGTCTCACTCATGGCTGATCTCCAACTCCTGGGCTCAAGCAATCCTCTGACCTCAGTTATAGGTGGGAGCCCCTGCACCTCACCCTAGAGTTCATTTCTTGAGTCTTAATGATGTTTTCTTGAAATTGTTGGGTACTTATAATTCCAGAGAATACTGCGTAAGATATTTATAATCACCTTAAACATTCTTGTGTCTGTCTATGTCACAATCAATGTTTATTTTTTGTTTTTCATGACAACACCAAAGATTTTCTTTAATGGTAAATAACAAAAATAATCACTATTAATTGAGGATCTTTTGTGGTTCAGGCATTATTTAACTGCCAAACATATAGTATGTTAGGTTTTTTTTTTTTTTTTTTCAATTTTGGCTGGGGCAGGGCTTGAACCCACCACCCCCGGTATATGGGGCTGGCACCCTACTCCTTGAACCACAGGCACCACCCAAAACATATAGTATTAACTGCAATATTTATAGGTCTGTTTATGTACAGGAAAACTGAAGCTCAGACTGTCTAAGTATAATGCTTTGTCCAAAGTTTCACAACGCCTGAATGGCAGGGTTCTGATTCCAACACAGTTCAAGTGAAGAGTCACAGGGTATGACATGCGGCTATCTTTCACCCTTTGTGTGAGGAAAAATATACTTGTTTGGATTCCTTAAAACTGAAGCCATCTGCAATGTTCCTCAGGCTGCATCTACAAAAACAACAAAAGTCAATCACAATGAAGCGTGCAGGAGCCTGAGGACCCAGTGTGGCCAGTGAATGGACTAGATTGGGTTGAGAATTTTTGTTATATGTAGAGAAATAGCCCAAGTGCTTGGTTCACTGACAAAGAATAAATTGGGAAGAGAAGAGGGTTTAAGAGCGGAGGGCTTCCTATGGAAAATTCCTGAAATTCAAAAGGGAAGGGGCTGAGGCTCCCTCCGTGTTTGTTCTCTGTAGTCCATGCTGTAGGCTAAGGGGAAAGAGGATAGGCAAACTTGGGGGTCTCACCCAGAAGCCTGGAAAGTGCGGGGGGTGGGGCGGAATGTATCCACAACTAGAAAAGCAAAACAAACAAGGGCCCCTCCCCTAAACCTAAACCTTAAACCCGAACTCACACCAAATGGGCTGTGGGAAGGAATTCTAGTAACAATTGAAAATGGAACATCCAACACTGGACTTCAGGCTGTGAGCGTCCGTCTGATTAATTAAGGTCAAGGTGGTGATGGAAATACCAGCTGGGGAGCATTTTGCCGAAAGATAAATTTGTCCCTCTGTATCTCTGCAAGACAGCAGGGAGGTGTGTGTTTGGAGCTAAATTAATTTGATTTACATCATGCCATGGTAACTTCTGTTCTCTCTGCCTGCTGTCAGATGTCTTAGCTGGCTTTTTCTCTCTCCTCCTTCACCCCCACACATTTCATAACATGGAGAAAAAGCACGAATTGGCTTTAGGCAGAATTTAGAAATGGAATAACTCTAATATGATTATTCTGCATTGAGCTCTGAATTCGCCCCCCTCCTTCTTTCTTGAGAAGTTGTAAACCTGAGCTTCAGTGCAATTTATTTTTATATTGTGTTTAATGGCACAAACCGCTTGACTGTTGATTGTAGGCAAACCTGGCAGCTCACCTATGCTCATCCAGTGTTTCTTCAACAACGCTAACAGGAGAACGTGAAGTTACGGCCCCATCCCATTAGGACTGTGCTTTTCCTGGCCTTGTCTCTTCCAGCCCCCAGGCTTTGGAGGCCGGGCCGGGAGGGCGCCTGTTAGGGACCCCAGCTCAGCCGGCCGCCCGCGGCTCGGGCGGGGTGGGGCGCGCGGCCCCGGGTCGCCGCCTGGCCCACCGCCCCTCGCCCCTTCCAGCTGCGAGGCGCGCTCGGCTGGGCAGGATAAGGTTACGCCGAGGCTCTCTCGGTGGGGAGGAAGGGAGGCGGGCCGAGCCCGCGCCCCGGCCCGCGGGGGAGTTCCCACAGTTGGCAGCTCGGCCGGCGGGGCCACGTCCCGGTGCGGCCGGCGCCGCCCGAGGGACCCTGCGCGCAGCCCCGGGCCCGGCCCCGCCATGGCCCGGGACAGGCCGCCCGGGAGGGGCTGCGGCGCCCTGCGCCGGGGTCTGCTGGGCGCCGCGCTGCTCCTGGGCCTGCGGCTCAGCGCCGAGCTGTGGCGCGCCGGGCTCCGGCCCGCGCCCCCCGCTCGCAGCGCCCCGCCGGGCCGGGCCTTCAGGCCGCCCGGGCCGCACCTGCCGCCCGCGCCCGGCCCGCCGCGCGGCGCCAGCAGGAGGCAGGTGATCTACGTGCGCAGCGGGCGCCGAGCGGGGGGCGGCGGGAGCGGGACGCCGGAGCCCAGCTGCTGCGCCCCGCGCGGGCGCCCCCGCCCGAAGGTCAGTTGCTACCCGCTCAGCCTCGGAATCCCCTCCCCGACCGCGCTGCCCAGCCTCGGCTCGGGGGCCGCGGGCCGCCGCCTCTCCCGCTTGGTCCCTAACTCCGTGCTCGAGGCGGCCCCACTGGGCGCATCCTTCAAAGACAGGATAAGAGTGAAGTGGGACGGAGCAGAGTTCATTAAATGTACAGCTACTGTTGCAGCCGAGCGCCCACTGGGTACCAGACACCCTCCTAGGCGCCGACATCCAGCAAGGAAGAGCCGAGCCCTGCCCTCGGGAGCGCGCAGTTTAGCGAGAGAGGACTTCAGAGATAAGCAGGAAAAGAAAGGAGTCATGGTTGCCATTCACGTGCTTTGCTTGTCTCCCAGTTTCCCCCTCGAGGCCTGGACCAAGCTGGGTGGGTCTCCACGTGAAGGGCCTGTGCATGCCCTACCTCATGGGGAACATACCCTGTAGCAGAGTTTCCCCTGAATCCCAGTGCTAGGGTTGGCGGGCAAGCAGGCCTGGGGTGAGAAGTCCAGCCCCCAGCACCACTTACTGGGAGGTTAATGGGATCCTTGAGGATCCAAATAATAACCTGGCTTGTCTTACATCGCTCTGCAGTGTTGTCCTTCTTTCCTCATTAACCTCTTGGCTCGCACCTCACTGAGGTGTCCCTGTTAGCCTCTGATTGTTAAGCTTCAGGCCGCCTATCCTTCTGCACAGAGCTCAGTTTAGTTACATGGTACTGGGGAATGAAGAGCTGAAGGACTACTGGCTTCCTCCTAGTGCTCATCCACTCCTGCTCCCACCCCCCTCCAGATCCTCCCAAGCACTTCCTTCTGTTGCCCGTCTTCTCCTCTTTCCTTTTGATCCCCACCACTCCGGGGCAGGAAGAAAAGCTCTTTCTCTATCTCTGTTGCTTCCTTCCCGGTGTCAGGCTCCACCGCTGCTTCTCCCCCCCTCCTCTTAGGCCTTGCGTTCCATCCTTCCACACCAATGCTTTTCCTTCCCAGGCCATTAGTGGTCACGTCCTGGATAAACGTAAAACTATTTGTTTCTATCTCTGAACCTCACCTCCTATGTAAAGTCTTAATTAGTTCTTCCAGAAGAAAGTAGCCACTCCCTCTCGATGCTTCTAAGGCACTTTCCATGATCTCATGCATTCAGCACATTTTTGCCAAGGGCTTGGCAGGTACCCGATGGATGCTGCATTGGGAGATGGAGGCACAAAATGAGTTCAAATTCTCCTGGGAGAGGTGCTTAGCTCAGGCATCCAGTGATGTGACCAGTCTGGTAATTGAGGCCCTGAACTCTGCCTGCTGAATCAAGAAAGACTGACCCAGGAGGGGGACACTTGACCTACAACTTGGTAGTTGGGCTTCTTTTGGTCCTCTGTGGAGAGCCTCACACGTCCCACCCTTGATACCCTCAACCCCACCTTGCAGTTTTTTTAGATTCACTCTCAACATCTGTTGTTTCTGCTGTCACCTGTCCAAGTACTACCCTTAAGTCTTTATTTCCACTTCAGACAACAGTAGAGCCTGTTCTACAAATGGCAAGGTTTGGAATATGTAGGCTCAGAGGACCACTGGTCACACACCCCATTGGGAGGCTGCTGCAGGGATCTAAGCTAGAGATGGGGGTGGTTTAGACAGGGTGGCAGCTGTGGAGGTGGTAAGAAGTGGTCAGATTCTGGATGTGTTGGAAGGTAAATGAGGGAGGAGCAGTCAGTTCCTGCTTGGTTGTTTTGTTTGGGGGATGGATGGAAACCAGGAATTTGGTTTTGAGATATACTTTGGTCATTAGGTAGAAACTTAAATAGGCAATTGAATGTGTGAGTCTGGAGCTTGGAGCAAATATCCACATTGAAGATAGCAATTTGGGATTTGAGAGTCATTGTATACAAGTGGCACTAGAACCATGAGACTGTATGAGGTCAACTAGAAAGTGAGTGTGGAGAACAAAAACAAGAGGACCCAGTCTGAGCCCTGGGGCTCAGTTCAATTAAAATTAAATTAGGAAGGAAAGAAAAGGAAATTTAGCACAATGCCTGACATGTAGGCTCTCAATAAGGGCAGCTTTAATTTTCAGTAGTTTGCCCCAGCTCTTTGGGTTCAGCCGTTTGCCCAATGTAGTTCGTTACAATATAACCTATTTCCATTCCTTGGGCTTTGTTGGTTCCCATCCCTGTTCCTAAGACTCTTGTACTTTTCCATCCTTGAACATTCAGGTCAATGTTCCTCTCATCTCCTGGAAACCTTCCCACAACAGTCCTTCATCCATGCTGATCTGTCCTCAGTTTGAGATGACAACAGAAATGCTGTCAACTCACTGATTTGTGAGTTGCTTTGTACAACAAATGGGTTATTGTGACCTGACAATCCATTTCAGATTGAATGTTTTGTTGCTACCATCATTCTTGTTGGGAAGGGTTGTATTTCTATAGTGACTCCTAGCAAATGTTTGCTCCTGAGATACCAATAGGTAAAAATATAAGAATCGTAATATTTTTTCCTAGTACTCTGGGAGGCCGAGGTGGGTGGGTTGCTTGACCAGCCTGAGTGAGTCCCCATCTCTAAAAAATAACTGGGTGTTGTGGCAGACACCTATAGTCCCAGCTACTCGGGAGGCTGAGGCAAGAGGATTGCTTGAGCCCGAGAGTTTGAAATTGCTGTGAGCTATGATGCCACTGCACTCTACCGAGACAAAGTGAGACTCTGTCTCCAAAAAAAAAAAAAATAAATAAAAGAAAAAATCGTACTATTTCAACCTATCAGGGTAACTCAAAATGTCTTTGGTTAAAAATATATAAGAAAGAAGTAAGTGGGGTTATGCTGTTTTTAAAATATTAAGTTTTTAGCTGCCTCCTAAGGAAATCTTTTCCTTAGATTTCCTTCTCCCTATTTACCTCTTTTCAGGTTTTACATCTAACCTCCCCAAATTCCTAGATAGTGAGCAAATTGAGTTTGTTTCATTTTCCCATGATTTCATAGTTGAGTTAAAATATTCCTTAGAACTGGAAAGACCAGTTATCTGATCTGTCCTCCCACTTCTGGGAACGGAGCTCAATAACCCCTGTCTCTCTAGGGACCAATCTTGTTCCTCCATCAAGAGGTGGTATAATATGAGCTGGTTGCACTGTTAAGTAATTGAAATAAAATTTGGAAGTTGTTAAAATCTTTGGATCTTATTTTATTTAGATTTTATTTGTTGAGTATACTGATCAACCGTATCGTTAGGTTCTTGGTTACTTTGCCCTGAGCACCTCCCAGATCAGTAAAGGAGAAAAAGTTCCATTCTATTTTGAGGATTGGCTTTCTAGGTGGATAAAAACCTGCATGAAATAATTGAGTTGCCGAGTGTATCTCGTCACCGTCACCGTGCTTCTCTCGCAGGTGTTAGAGGCACAGAGATTCAGCAATTATATTGCCACTGTAATCATAGCTTATGCTTCTCTTAAAGAAAACTATTATGAAAAAGAGAAGTGAAAAATTGTTCTCACATAATTCTTTCCCTCTTTCCTTATTCTTTTCTTTCCCAGAGCCATGGAAGAACTAGCTCTATAAAGTCCTCGTTGGCACCAGGGGTGCTAATCTTAGAGCTTTGTGGAATGAGGGACAATGACAGGACAGATACTGCTCTTCTTGATTATGACCACCCTGGAACCTGTGCATTCCTGTCTAGTATAGCGTCTTTAACCATTGCATCAGAGCTCTTTACCTCCAAATCCTGCATACTTCCCGTGTATAAAAATAGTACTGATTCTTTCTCTTTCTGTTCTGTTTTCTATCTGCCTGTTTTGTATTTTCTTAAACAGACTTTTACTATGTTTACCATGAGTAATGTTCTTTTGGAGGGGATTTATGGAGGACAAAAATATGGTCTCCACAATTTATGCTTTTTTAAAATGCAGCTCCTAGGTGGATGTCATACCTCTTACAGGCAGGCGGCACAGTACAGGGCTCCTTTGCAGAGGAGGGAAACTCACTTGGGGGCCACCCTTTCTGGAGAGATTTCTTCTCTCTTATTGGATATATTTTACTTGACATTTAATATGTTGGATCGAAAAGTGACTTCTGAGTCACAGAGCTTCAGAACCCAGCCATGTGCTGGCTTGGTTTGTTAGTTACAGATCCTTTTGGAACAATGTGTGCGTGTGGCGGGGGCAGGGGTGGGGGGGCCTTTTCCTCTTCTCCTGTAAAACCATATGGCAAAATTTGGTCTGTCTTTCTCACTTCTTGTCATCCTCTTAGTTTTCTAATTCTGTGATTGTCATCAAGAACAAAGAGGAAAAAATGGCACAGTGTGCCCCCGATACGCCCAACTGCCTTCAGAGTCCTTATTCTCTAGGAAGGACTTGAAGGTAGGTTTGAATTACTTGGGAAATGAGGCCCAGCAGTAGTTTCCAGCTCTGCAGGTTTTTGCGTGTGTACCTACACTTCTGTCCTTCAGGGAACAACATTAATCAGTCCTCTCACACCGTCCTTAGGAGGCAAAACATTTTCATTTTAAACAAAGTCGTTGAGGGTAATTGAATGAGCTCCAGCAATATGTGGGTGTGAAATAGCAGTTGCTTAGCTGCACGAAGAAAAGCAGGCTTTTATTACAACTTTGAAGTGCTTAGATGGGGAATCGGGCTCTGCACTCTTTCCAAACCCCACAGTTCCTCAGAGAGCATTCTGTGGGCAAAGAAGCTGCTAATGGCGGCTCTGTTGTTTTTCAACCACTGCGGGTGGAGATTTTAGGTTTTTGTGTGTAATTTATCTAGTCCGTTTTCTCTGAGGAAAAGAATGTCTTGTCAGTTTTCTCGAATAGGATTGGATTTCCTTTTCGGTCCGTGGAGAGAATCAGGGCCGAGTAGTTAAACTGAGAACTGTCAAGGGTGGTATGCATTTGAGTTTTTCCATCTGCGCTCTGGTACCTTTGGAGTCCTTGTGTTTATAAGGGGTTTGGCTTTTGGTGCTGTGCTTCATAGAAAGTAACACGAGCCTGTTTTCTTTTCCACGGGTCACACACTA